CTGTGACCTCCAATTTCGGCACAGTGATGGCTTTTCCTACCATGATGCTATACACCAACTATCACTAGGTCGAGCCGTTTAGATTTGTGCCGCAATTCTGCATTTCCTCCCTATACCTTAAGTTAAGGAGGGAATGTTCCCCCTTCTTTTACACCTCTTGACCTGTGACCTTTGACCTCCAGCTTCGACATTCCAACTCGTTCTGACGATCCCCCCCCCCAACGTCCCGAATATCGTGACCGTACGTTGAGCGGTTAAGACTTGTGCCCAACTGTTGACGGACGGACGGACGGACGGACGGACGGACGGACGGACGCACGCACGCACGCTCATGCAATTCTACAAGCTGCATCTGACTATGTCAGATAAGCTAATAATAATAACATTAGTAATAATCGTCGTCATTATCACCACCATCATCATCACCATCATCATCATCATCGTCACCATCATCATCGTCACCATCATCATCGTCACCATCATCATCGTCACCATCATCATCGTCATCATCATCATCATCACCATCATTATCACCACCATCATCATCACCATCATCATCATCATCATCATCATCACTATGAGATGTACCTCTGAGGATGAAACCTAGGCGGATGAGAGCTTCCCTGCGTCCGTACCACATCTCCGTCTCATCGAACACCGCCTCGGCATAGGCGCCGGGCCGCATCTCGTGGTTGTCTCGCCCGATGTAGAGGTGACTCGAGGCATCCGCCATCGAGTCGTGGGGCTCCCCACGCTGATCCTCACTCACCATCTCGTTGTTCACGAACATCTGCAGCCCATCGACTGAACGACAACAAGAACAACCGTTAATTACCATGGTAACCACAACAACCAAACATGAACGCGAAAAATTCATGTCACGATTTACCTTTGTACCCATATTATTCTTACAATTACTGTTCTCATAATTTTATTTACATTCCATATCTTACTGTTTACTTTTGATCTGTTATATGGAATTACTGGGTAACTAATGATTACATAACAATAAGTGCTAACTATTAGGAAGAGACTACGATTTTAGGATTATTCCGAGAGAAATACTAATGTATATAATTACATTATGTAATAATTATAATGTATTTAATAAAAAAACATTATCTATATTATTCCTACCAATGTCCCAGGACATTTCCAGGTAGAGCCACTGTCTCTCCTTGGGGTAGCGCCATTCCACAGTCCACGTCTGCCGGGCAGTGGAGAACTTGGCATAGAGCATCCGGTTCTCGCAGAAGAGCGAGAATCCATTCTCTCCTGCAATATTACATGACATCACCGTTAAACAACCTCCACCGATATACGATGCAAACAAATATAATTTTACAATTACAAGATTACAATAAAACATAATAGAAAGCAAATATAATACCTCTCCATATAAAAATATATTAGCAGTTAACTTAGGCTGAAATCAATTCACTGTAAAGGTATTTGTACATATTATGCTAGTCAACCAAATTAGGGGTCGCCCTATCAATACTAGTAAATTCATTTTCCCAAAGTTAACTAAACTTCTAAATACTAAAATCTAACTTCCAACTAAACGTGTTTTATAATAGTTGGACTTATGACCGCTTTCAAATCAACTGACAATTTCCTAGCATTAAGCAAATCAGGGTTATATTAAAAAATTATTGGATATTAATTGTTATATTAATTAACACAGGAGTAAATGTAAATGAGTTCCTGTGCGAATTACCTGAGGACATGTAGTGCATAGTTTCTGTTGGAATTTGAGCAAAGTAGATCCAGGTAGAGATGGTGAGTCCATGATGGCACACGTCAATGTTACTGAGACAGGTCTGTGACGTGTCACCCAGGTCCACGTATTGTCCGTTACCCGTCAACCTGTGAGATCATGAGGCAATCATGTCACACTAATGACATACCCACATAATTAAATAAACGCTCTATTTAACTCTCTACTGTCCCTCAACCTGTGGTTATGAATGAGACAATCATGGAACACTCATAACATACAGACACACATAATCACGTAAATAGTGTACAGGCCATCCCTATTCACTAACCTGAGATCATGAATACTCATACCATACACACATACACAGTCATACACGTGCACAACCACACAAATTAAACACTTATATTGTACCCTTCTTTACCCATCAACCTGTGATGAGACAATAATGAAACACCTATATTGTTTTCTCCCCCTTTTTTGTCGTTTTAGCTTTATTTGTAAAGCACAGTCCCTCCACAACTATGTTGTTTTGGTTTGCGTAACAGGCACTGCCCGGAAAAAAACTGGTGAGGGTGACCTTGGTAGCCTTACACAAACGCTTACAAAAAACTTGCAAGGCCGATCCTAACACGGTCACCAAATACAATAACTCCTGCGCTACTGATTTCACCCACCCACACCCGCTGCCCCTGCCCACCCACAATCACACAGCGCCAGTACCACATAAAAGGCAAAGAAAACAATTGTGCACAATCCGTATCCACTTTTAAAACATTACTAATTGCTGGGAGAGGCATTTTTAAAATCAGGTCAGGGGAGCGTAAATAATTAAGCCACACCTCATACTGCGTGTGTACCACCGCCGCTGCACTATCAGGGCTATACCTCCCCCTCCCTCCCCTGCTCCCACCACGTCCTCCTCTGTTATTGCTACCGAATATTATTATGATTACGATGCAGCTGGTATTTCTGGCATGAAAAAACACACATTCGTGCACACACACGCACACACACACACCACGCACGCATGCACACGTGCGCATGCCCATAGCATCCAAACATACATGCACACACATACATGTACGTACGTACGTACACATACATATGAACCCACACACAAACACGCATGTACACGCCCGAACGCACGCACGCACCCCCATACCCACGCACGCACCCCCATACCCACGTGCATGCACACACACGCACGCACGTGCACACAAACGGACGTACGCACACACACGCACATACGCACACGCACACACGCACGCACGTACGCACACGCACGCACGCACGCACACGCACATATACACACACACAAACGCACGCCCACGCACGCAGATACACGCACACACGCACAAACGCACACACACACACATGCACACACACACACATGCACACACACACAGCACACAGTGCACCACACACGCACGCGCACGCACGCATCGCAGCGCACTGCACGGCACGGCAACGCACTCTGCACGCACGCACGTGCACGCACTGCACAGTGCCACAGCACACACACACAGCAGGAGCACACCCACAGCGAGAGAGAGAGAGAGAGAGAGAGATTACGGCGTTGCTGTACTGCGTGCGGTGCGGCTGACATCTGATCCGGGCCCCACATATGGTGAGGAGGGGAGGAGGAAGAGCGAGTGTGAAGCACGCAGGCGGGCACATCAGCTGTTGAGGGAGTCAGCATCAGTGGGCTTCACACACGAGCGCGCGCGTGCCAGCCTCCGCCTCACACGTGACTCACCACTACACACGCGGCAGCTCTCACATACAGGATGGGGGCAATGAGACACACGCGTACATGTGCAGAAGGAATGCTTGCCATGTGACTACTAGACGACAGATATCTGACTAAGTATCACGTCTACGTGTCTCATGGCGGGGTGCATGACTAAGACGCTTATTCACGCGAATACTGTACACTATTATCGACCAGAGATTTTTTAAATACTAGGGGTGTACCGGATCCGATTTTTAAAGTTTAAAACCGAACCAGAACCAGCTGATGAAAGTTTTCGTGTCATATTGCGCAAACTGATTCGGCCCGAATAAAATCCCAACAAGTCACACGACTTAGCATGGATTAGCACATCTTCCTAATTTTTCACAAGAAATTCCGCTTCCATTTTACTGTTTTTAATGAGCCGAAACTGTAACTTTAGAAAATTAAAGTTTAGATCCAGGTTCCTTATAGGAAACCTTCATGAGAAACCACGCGACACAGCACGGGAGCTTACGATAATCCGTTGTTGATCTTTCCGAGAGCGAGTCCTGCACCGCCGTGCGGCGTGGCTGTGATACCCTTAGCCTCCAACTTTCCTGCTTTTATGGAGTTCATTGGTAGATAGAACTCGTACATCGGGCCTAGAGAAAGCAACAAGCTCGGCTTTACAACGTGCACGAACACTCCGCAAATGTTATAATACTGTCAAACCTGTATATAAAGATTACTCATAGGAAATGTCAACGGTGTCCTTTAAAGACAGGTGTCCGTTTTATTGAGGAACTTTTACTCTATAAGTAGTACTTTCACTACTTTGGGGGAATGCCGATAGAATTCTATACAGATTGATGTCTGCCAACACAGGTTTCCTATATTGGAGTTACTGGCAACTCCTTTGAGAAAACCAGGCTCACTGAAACTCTATTACAGTCTCTCTGCAACTGAACAGATGCAACACCAAGGTCAGTCAGAAGAACAACTGTGCTGAACTTTTACAAAAGAGCTAATTAAAGCTGAATTTGCATCTGCAACCAGCAAAATCCTTAGATGCTACATACTATCTTCGTCACACAATTCGTGTTAGCATCAATTTCCTAAAACTAAATATCCGATGTCATTAAGCATTGATTTACAACACTCAACATTACAAGGTCACCTCCATCCTTCCCAGACACAACTGTATCATCATCACACGAAATACGCTAGTCATAACAATACACGAGTCTTCTAGTGTGAACGTGGATGACAGATGTGCGTAGAGTAATGATGATTCATTACGAATTTCCTCACGATTGAAATGTAGAGCAGTAACAGATTAACTATTAAGTGCGCAGCAAGCTACAATACGTGCTGGGGTTAATATATGTGTAAACAGCATTTCTCAAGATGAATGAAATGACATGATACTGGTATACTGTCAATATGTGCATTTACCTTAAAATAACCTTAAAACGTTATTATGAAATCCGATAAACTTATTGCAAGATATTTGTAAAAAAAAACTGTGGGTTACTTTAGCTGAATTCAGCCAATTAACGCAGCGACATATCGGACAAGAAGTAAAGGAGATTGTTGTTAATATTATACACTTATACACTTACATGTAGTACTTAGCAATCGCTCACTTCTAATCAGATATACGCTATCAAGAGCGTATTAAGAAGCGTATTAACCTTCTTTATATGCTCTTGACGCTATCACACACCAAAATCGTCACATTAAAGACATAACAAAGTTCTGGTAACGTTTTACAAATGCCCTGATAAAAAAATTTGGGGAACATATGGAAGTAATCAGGGAAATATTACACAGTCTAGTGTACTCTCAAATTAATACTAGAGTGTTATTGAAGCCATAAGCAAGTTACTGCTGCAGGTAAGCATAGTAAGAGCCTCACCAATTTCGCGAATTCTGTCCGCCGGCTGCTGCACAGCCCAGAAGTTGAAGTTGTCGATGGCAAACGTTCCAAAGTGTCGCTTGTCCGTGTCATCGCTCGCTCGCCCAATGATGAACGTTCGCTTCTGCTCCAGCTGGATCGACCCTGCAAGAACCACAGCAATATTTCACGTAGCTGTCCTGGCTGCAGTACCAGCTAACGGCATGTATTGACAGGTAACATGGTTGTATGGGCATGTAACAACAGCTAACCACATGTAACATGTAATGCAGGTGTATGGGAATGTTACAACAGCTATCATGCAGCATACATGTAGCAACATGTAACCACAAGTAACATCCGTGTACGAGCACGTTACAGCAGCTAACGCCATGTAACAACATGTAACAACAAGTAAAATATCCGGTGTTCAGAGCACATAACAACAGCTATCAGCATATAACAAAATATTACAACAAATAACATGGGTGTAAGACTGTAAGGACATATATTAACATTAAGAGTGACATAATGGAGATCTCTAGACATCTTTATAGATATCTCTAATAGATATCTCTAACAGATATCTCTAATAGAAACTCTCTATTATGTCACTCCTGATCAAATCAGGAGCCTATCAATAGTCTATAGTCTGTTGTCAATAGTCTATTGATAGACTCCTGATCAAATGCAACGTAGGTTGTGGAGGGTGAGGCGTAGTAACAGGTAGCGTAGGTGCATACGCATAGACACACGCATGTGGGGCATGTAATCAAAATGACAATGAATGGGCGTTTATGTTGCGATTGCACACACTTCTGCTGGGTGCGGAGTGGCTAGTCATTGCTAGCGGTGTGCACCCACAACATTGCACGAACATACCGACAACAACATACGTCGCTAATGAAAAATTACATTTTCAGGATATATGCATGGATTCTTCAACACAGTACGATGTAGAGCGTATATGATATTAAGACGTGAAGAAAGGTGGGGAAAGCGGTTAGAGATTTCACTTGCCAACCAGTAACAGAAAGATTTGCTTAATTATGCTAACAAATATATACAGCGAATGTATCAGAATACATTTCATTCAATTACAGGGCATGAAAACCTGAATGCATCACCGTGAAAAGGCCACTGACATCAAGCACGAGAGCCCCACACAGAATGGACTGTGTATACGCACGTATATATGCGCATAAACTACAACCCCCACATTCTCATGCAAACATTACCCAACACAGGAAAAGTAACATAGAATATAGCGCTGAGCCTTGGAACTGGCAATATTACAATAAATAATACTTCAGGTTGCAAAACAGACAGATAGCTAAGTGACGCCGCTACCTTTGCCGTTATTCTGTCGCTAATTTATACCTTATAGGCTGTGCAACCTTTGAATAATATCTTATCTCCATCAAATATCTTAACTTAAGTAACATTTTGCCTTATAATTACCGATTTATGAGCCATCTAGGCACCTACGAGGGATAACTAAACTAACTAACTAAGAAACATGGATAACCCAGATTAAGATAACTAACATAATCCATGTATTTGTTACGTAAACACTACATCTATCTATTCACGGTTTTTGGATGCAGGATTTAATATTTCGCTCCAGTAAGAAGTTTACCGAGTTATAAAGTCATACATGAGTTCTTTCCTTCCCTCTTTACCAAGAGGCTAAATATAGATACAGAGATAAAAACATTTCTTATACAGACGTGTAGTAAATATACGTGGAGATATATATAAGTATTGACATGCAGCTTTCATATAGAATACGTTACTAGTAATATAGATGATAAGCACGAGCTAGGTTTCCTTGGGGGCATACAGGTTTCCTCTGTCGGCTAGGGAACAGCTTGGGACCCCTCCCCTCCCCTATTTTACCAAGCATAATAAACAGTGCTCAGCCGAGAATTTTTTAAAGCAGCAAAACGTGTTCTTACAAGGTAACCTGGCTTCGACCCTACCAGACATGCACGCGCACGCGTACGCACACGCACACACGACCGCACACACGCACACAATACGCACGCACGGCACGCGCGCACGCGCGCACACACGCATACGTATACGTACACACACGCACAGACTCACACTCACACACGTACGTCTGCACGCACGCAGTAGAGCACATACACATACGCAGGCACGCACACACACGTACGCACATAGCACGCGCACACACACGGACACACACAGACTCGCGTAAAGATGCACGCACACGCACGCACACACGCACAGCACACACGTATTAAGATATGTAATTAATGCTGATACGTCACCTACACTCAACACAAACAAAAGAACAGACCGGTGGGAGGGGAAGCCCAGACTTCTTGATATCCAGTAACCACTGTCTACATACTGGTTTATACTAGGGGTGTGTCTCCACCCCCTACTAGTACTATGTGAGGGTCGTAGGTGTGCACAGGTGTGCAGACTAAGACTGGACCTGTGGCTGCTAATGTTTGTGATTATGATTACCGCCCCTTAGAGTAAAGTAGGTCGTTGTTGGAAGAATGCTACCCGTGGCTGCATGCGCGGCCCGCACCAGGGTATAGGTGTGGGAGAGGTTGACCGAACCAGGGTAAGTGTGGGAGAGGTTGACAATACTAGGGTATGTGTGAGAGAGGTTGATCGTATGAAGAGCTAATAATACCTAAATGGTATTATATTATTAGCTCTTGATCGTATCATGGTAAGCGTTGAGGGCAGCCCAACTTGGAAGTCAAACACATTCTGACATTGGTGGAAGCACAGAAATAATATATATTAGATAGTCTATCTATACATTTCTATGGGTGGGACCGAGATGTATTCCTACACTTACGTAACTCTCAGACATTTTCAAGACCTCACATTAGCAATGCTCTACGCACATGTACAAGCACGTAGGTACCGTAAGTATGCCACGTACAACACCAGGAGCGATATTAAGATTAAATAAAAAGAATGTTTTTTATAAGGTAACCCACATCTTGGACAGCTATTAATCTCTTCTCTACCTGAACGTAACACATAATTTTGCACTGGTTCATATTCTCGTACTAGATCTCAAGTCCGACTAGCCTTTGTAGTCAGTTTAAAAAAAGGGTGATTGCTATTTATAGGTGTTAGCAGTGAATACATGCAAAATCCGGTACGGTTTTGCTACACAAATGTTTCACTATGGGCCGGCTACTCTAGCCATCCAGAACATAAGAAAACTGGATGTTCAACATTTCAGCTGTTGTCATAACCCACATTCACTATAGCTGTGCCTCTACAGAGATGAACTGCAAACCTTATTCACAGACAGGTGAAAAAATACCAGCAGTAATGCCAGTGCAGATCCAATGCAGCTGTATTCATCCTTCCCACTCCTTAAAGTTATACTCAAATCATTGGGGGAGAGGAAACACGAAAAATAACACTAACAACGAAACTACAACAAGAAATGCACCCAGGAAAACCTTATCTTAGAAAACGGGTTCATAATTCAGATTTCAGATAAACAATCAACGGTAATAGTTCGCCTATCAACTGTTCTTCAGTCATTAGCTGCATCTATGGCTGATTAAAAGGCTTTTCAGCAAAGGCATAAATCTAGTGACATTGGTAAAGTTTGGCAGGGGATGCTAGACAGACACTGAAGTGGCAGTTTAAGGCAACAAGTTTGGATACTATCAGAATGTGAAGTGTTTAACACCAGTGTGACAGGGCGAGAGAACACACACGCACCACGCATCCACATACTTACCAGCAGATCTTCGGACGGGTCTTGCATCTCTGTCAACTAGGTCACCATTGATGAAGAGGGAAAGGCCTTCGTTCCGATTCCAGGTCCAGGTGAGATGATACCACCATGCTGGGGACACAGGGCCACTCTTGGCTCTCCACTCCAGTCCATTCTATGCAAGACGTTGCTTTATTAATTTATTGTATAGAAATATTATACATGTACACTTTATGTATACATCTCCCTTACTCTCCCCTCCTCTCTTTCATTCTCTCTTTATCCTGCTACCTCTCTCCCTTCCCTTACTCTTTCCCTTCTCCCCATTTTCTCCCCTATTCCATAGAAGGTGCCAGATGGGGCAAAGGAGTACAGCCTTTTTCTGATTAGAGAGATTAACCTCCACCTCCCCATAAAAACAGTAACTTATCTGGGACCAAGCTATGAAAAATAGTTCGTCACTCTTCAACTGTGATGCTGCTCTAATAGCAAGAGCTTATGAAACAACCATAAGGATGAAGAAACTACTGTATCTTTACATATATGCAATGTTACAATATATCAACAGTTATTTATATAGCAACTAATTCCTATATATGCTACTCATGCCATTTTAAACCTATACATTTGAAAAAAATTGGATTCCATAGTTTTAGATAACCTTTGGCTTGCTACTGGTAATTTGACTTTAGCCCGGATGGCACCTAGCTGTTATGAACATGCCCCCCATCAGGGACCTTAGCCCCTGTGTCAGGCAATCACTAGTGCAACCCCCTGCTCCCTCTCATCTCTCTTTTCCTTCCCCCAACCGCTCTCTCTCTCTCTCCCCTTTCTCTTTCTCTCTCTCTCTCTCTCTCTCTCTCTCTCTCTCTCTCTCTCTCTCTCTCTCTC